CCATCTCATGAGAAGAGAAGACTCCCTGGAAAAGACCCTGATGTTAGGAAAGTGCGAAGGCAAGAGGAGAAGGGGGACGACAGAGGACGAGATGGTTGGACAGTGTCATTGAAGCTACCAACATGAATTTGACCCAACTCCGGGAGGCAGTGGAAGATAGGAGAGCCTGGCGTGCTCTGGTCCATGGGGTCACGAAGAGTCGGACATGACTAAATAACAACGACAAGGTTTAAAAGGCTCAGTTGCCTGTACTATACAATAATGTTTTCCTCCCTGTTGTATGCAGTGGAAACAACGAATGGATGGAGCACTGGGCCGAAAGCAACAGAATGAAATTCAACAGGGATAAGTGCAAAGTACTGCACTTTGGAAAAAGAAACCAATTGGAAAGTTACAAGACGGGGGATATCTGACAAGCAAGAGTTATTTTGGAATTGTCATAGATCACAAGCTAAATATAAGCCAACAGTGTGATGTGGCTACAAAAAGGGCAAATGCTATTTTAGGCTGCATTAATAGAAGTATAGTTTCCAAATCCTGTGAGGTTCTAGTCTCCCTCTATTCAGCACTGGTTAGGCCTCACATTGAGTATTGTGTCCAGTTCTGGACACCACACTTCAAGAAGGATGCTAACATATTGGAAGAAATGCAGAGGAGGGTGAAAAGGATGATCAGGGGGCTGGAAGGCAAGTCTTACGAGGAAAGGCTGAAAGAATTGGGCATGTTTAGGCTTGAGAAAAGAAGGCTGAGGAGTGATATGAGAGCACTTTTCAAATATTTGAAAGGCTGTCATACAGAGGAGGGATAAGATCTGTTCTCGATCATCCCATAGTGCAGGACAGGCAACAATGGGCTGGAGCTAAAGGAAGCCAGGTTTCAATTAAATATCAGGAAAAGCTGATATGACAGTGGAACCAGTGACCTCAGGAGTTGAGTTCTCCAACAGTGCAGGCATTCAAGAAAAACTTGGATAATCACCTGACAGATATGCTTTGATTGTATTCCTGCGTTGAGCAAGGGGTTGGACTTGATGGCCTTGTTAGGCCCCTTCCAACTTCACTTTTCTATGATTTCTATGACCTTCACCTGTTTCCCAGCAATAGATTTGTTTAGAGCTTGCAGACATCTAGCACTGAATAGCACAAAAGGAAAAATGTCATGTTGATCTTTTCCTTCCTCTCTCATACAACTTCTCATATTCTGAAAGGGCTGAGCATAATGATTTCTATAACCTGACATGGTACAGTGTTTTTGTTTGTACGTTACTCTTTATTTCTGTTACGAAAATGAAGGGATCCATCCACCTTCAGATTTTTGTAGAGCCGTAATGGAGGTACAGATCTGTGGATTCCCTAGTGAACTGTTTGATAACTTGTTTTTCAAGAAGTTGCAATGAATTCAATGAATGATGAGATTTAGAGAAATTTTATCAACACCCATTGTATGCTTCTTGCCTCATATACGTAGCTCTTTGGAATGCAGATACCACTTGATTTTCTTTCAGCATGAAACATAGATATACGTAGCTAACAATTTAAGAATAAAAATAACTCTCTCGGCTTTTTGTTTGTTTTTTTTAATTGAGGCTTCTGAAAATAATGAAAAAGTGGCTGCAATGATCAAGTAACAATGACTTTGCAATGACTAGAGGTAGGACTCATCTACTCCAGCCTTTTTGCAGCAAGCGAGTACAATTTAAATAGGGCAGTGTGAAGGTGGGGTGTATGTGTACATTTGGTACAGTTTTCTCTAATTAACAATCAGCTCCTCTAGCTGTGAATTTCTGATACTGTGAAGTGGCTTAATAAGGAAGTCACCTCAGGATATTGGCAAATTGAACACCCCTGCTATAGAGGGGCAAAGAAAATGAAATTATTATTGTTGTTTTATTCTGCTAGACCATCACTGATCTGAATGAATTTTTTTTTAAAAAAAATTGCCCATCAAGAAACTGCCGGCAGCCAAAACACTGTGGAGATAGATTGGTTCATTGCAGTAATTATGTCTTCTGATTGCTGGATAAAAAAGCAGCTACCAAAGAGCAAGACAAATGCCTGTCTGATTAAGCCCTTACTCTTTTTTAAATAGGTATCTGTGCTTCCAACTGCAACTGTACAGATTTCACCAGAGGAAACAGACAACCTTCAGGATCAGAGTAAGCATTTATATTGTATTTCTTCTTGAAATAGAGGTTTTTTTAAAATCATAGAATCACTTTAAAGGCCAATTTCAAGGAAGCCAATGTTGGGAGAAATTAGTCTTGTGTCTCTGTGTCATTATTCTTTAATAACTGTAATTAAGTAATAACTTAATTAACGTGGCTGTTTTGTTTGCTGTATGTTGACTAAAGTTGGTTATCATGTTTGTCCACCCTTTATGCATCTCTCTTTGTTTTTATAGCATAGAAAGTGCTTATTATATACGTACATGTTTTTTTTTCCCCTTTGGGGTTTTTGTATATAGTAGGACCCCAGTATCTGTGAAGGATGGGTTCCAAGCACACAAACACCCGTGGATATTGAAAAGTGCAGATTATAGCTAACAGGATGTTGGACTCAGGACTCCCCCCCCCATAACTATTATTTTTCTCTGTGAGTAGGAAGAGCCAAGTTGAAATCGTTCCTCCTTCATTAAGTTTCTGAAGATGACCCTCCTTTCACACACACAGAGATGTGTGCACATACAATTTCAATGGCTCCACAAGCTTCTCTTCTATGAAAATGATTAAGGATTCATTTCCTCATTTGCCCAGGGGTCTTGAGGAAAGAGCTAACCGGAAGGCAAGAAAGGGGCAGGAGAAAGAAAATTTCTCCCAGGAGGTAGTTTGGCTTAAGACTTGCATTCCTCCTCCTGTCCTCCTGCCTCACTAGCCAAATCCAGCTATGAGTTTTACAAGATGGATGCTGCTTTGAAGGGAAACCTCCCCCTAGTGGCCCATCTGATAATTACACTTTGAACATCTGGATTTCTAGGTATTGTGTGTGTGTACACACACACACACAAAATATCTTCAGCCAGTGGTTAAGTAAATCAGCAGATATTGATCCAGCAGATATGGAGCTCTGCTAAGAGCCTCGTGGCGCAGTGGTTAAACCGCTGTACTGCAGCTAAAACTGTGCTCACGACCTGGGGTTCAAATCCCAGGTAGCCGGCTCAAGGTTGACTCAGCCTTCTATCCTTCCGAGGTCGGTAAAATGAGTACCCAGCTCACTGGGGGGCAATGTGTAGCCTGCATAATTAAATTGTAAACCGCCCAGAGAGTGCTTGAAGCGCTATGGGGCGGTATATAAGCAGCACGCTTTGCTTTGCTTTGCTTTTACTATACATTTACTTCATGGCTTGCTGAGCTACTGGACTATGTGAATCAGCTGATCTACAGAAACATCATGGTTTGGGATGTGATCAAGAAGTAGCGTTGGAGAAAGAATATAAGAAAGAGGAAATTACTGTAAACTATTTATTTGATTCTAGAGAAGCTGCAATTCAAGTAAAAGATGCCACTGAGAAATGGGTTTCCATGTTGGTCATTTTAATGCATAGATGTCAAGTAAGGAAGGCTCACTGGAGAAGACAGTAATGCTGGGAAAAGCTGAAGTTAATAGAAGACCTAACATGAAATAGCTTGGTTCACAGCCTATGGCTTGCAAGACCTGAATTAGAGTGGTTAATATCAGGAGCTTTTTGGAAGTCATCAGCTGAGATCAAAATGTTATGTTGTTTTAGATGTGGATTTCCTAAGTTAAGAAATCTCTGTAGGCATTATCTCTTGTACACCAAGACTCAGTATACAACAGATAATGTCTGTGGAGATTTCTTAATTTACAACAATGCATGCCTAATTGTTATGCCATTTATGTAACTGCAACAAGATTCCAGCCATTAACAAGGTCAGCATAAGTCAGAAGTGACCTGGTAGCACATATATCACAATTGCTATACAGGAAATTAATTTTCATCTTCATCAAGACTGGAGAAGAAATGTAAAAAAACTCATGTAAGCTATATAGTAATCCTAAAAAATCAAAATCATCCTATTTCATATTATTAGTAGTATTTTGTTTAAACAACAGTTATAATTAATAACCATATCATTGAAATAATGTAGTTTGGCTTAAAAGCAAAGATAATCCTGTGCCCTAGACTTTAGAAAGCCTTAATTGTGTGATCAGATCATTAGAAATATTTTACTTGTAAAAGTGGAGATTGCACTCCTTTACACTCATATATATTTTTGCCTTCCAGAAACAAAGGAAGAAGAGAAGACTTTGAATGATCTTGTGGGCCTTTTGCAAGACATGGTAAAAAATATTCCGACAGAGCAAACACAATCCCAACTACCAACTGAGTTAGCAACTATCATGGAATCCAATGTGGAACCTTCTCCATCTGTAACAGCTGATACTGACTTGATGAATTTAAAATCAAAGAATAATGGAATGCAAACAGAGGGATCACAAACAGTTGCCTTGACCAATGGAATTACCACACCTACAACAGCATTTTGGAAACCCAGAAGTGATGCAAGTGCATCTATCATTCTGCAGTCTGCAATAACTGCTTCTGAAAAAACTACACCAGAAAATCTCCGAAGTGAAACAAGTGCTTCTGTTTTATATTCTGATACTACTACTTCAGAAAAACCATTGGTCAGTGTATCATTTCTACTTGAAAATACTACCACAGGTGGAAAAAGTTTTGATCAGCTAACAAATGGAGCTTTGTCAAGTCTGGTGGAATCCCTAAAGAATGTTCAAAAATTACATGAGACATTACATACATCCACTGATAACCCACAGCAGAAAAATAATAAAGAAAAAAATCTGGACATAAATCTACATAAACCTATAGGTGCAGACATCTTAGACTTGATTGATGCACTAATCAAAACAATAAAGAATGCACCTTCTGCTGTTAAAAATGATCCCGCTCTCCATAACTATATTGAAAAAGCAGAAAGCTTCCTAAAAGATGCTTTGGAACTTGCAGGAGAAGCAGAAAAGAAGCTCAGGCAGGCAAAGGAGCAGGGACAGGTGAAGAAGGTAGAGCTGAAGATTAACCCTTCACCATCAGCAACTCTGCTGGTATCAGAGGTGACATCGTCTCCTCCTCTAGCAAAAAAGGTGGAAGATATTCAAATGGAAATGGGAAAGTTAAAAGCATTTATTAACTTACTGTATGGTTTTAGTCCCCATTTTGCTAGATATGCAGAGAACTCACCCAATAAAAAAGTAGTTGAGGATATTGCTGATAGAGCAATGGCAGTACTCAATGCTATAAAGAGTATTTTCTGTGGAAATCCAGATGGGCGAAGCAAACAGATATTGAAGCAGTTGTTAAAGGAAGACATGGAGCTTGTGAAGCAAGCCATGAAAGAAAAAAAGAGTGTCTTAAGAAAACACACTTATTTCTTGATAGTGTAGACATTTTTCATCAGCGTTATGTATTATTAAAGTTCCACTTCCTCTTTTGTAACAGCCAGCTAAATATACCTGTAGTCATTTACAAGTGTGGAATTAAATGCTTATTTGTAAATAATTTTGTTCTCATTTTTCACTCTTGTTGGAATTCATCTGCAAGTTATATTACAGTGGCTGCAATATAAGAGTAAGTTGCAACTAGAGTAGAGCCATTGAATCAGGATTTGGTGAGTCAGCTCCTTTGAAAGTTGTTGATTCAATGGGCCTACTCTAGCTGCAACTTACTACTGGATTTCAGCTAGTGAGTGTGAGTATACACCAGCCATTTAAGATACAATATGAAATATTTTAAAAAAGAGTCCTGAGTTAACATAAGGTTATTACAGTATGATTATCAAAAATAAAAAATTAGTTAGTCCTTGGGCTACTCTCAAAAGTGTGATAAGAGTTCTGTGGCTCACACAGGCCCCCAAGATCCATATTGTCTACCTCTTTCTTTCCAGAAGTGTGTAGCTCCTGTTGGAAACTTACATGTGGCAGTTTTGGAGACAGCTGTTCCTTGTTTTTCCATATTATTTGCTTTTGAAAGTCATATTTATTTGTTATGATTAGGAGTCACTGAGACACACAATCTGTTTCTGTAAATCTGGTGTGTTTGTGTGTATTGCTTGTAGCCATTACTACAACTTGTGGCAAAAAACCATAAAGTTAATTGTATACTATACTAGAGGAATCAGTGGAGGATACAGAATGAGATGGAAATTGAAATGTATCATAAATATACTAAAACTTCAGCAGGATGTGATAATCCTGAAAAAAAAACCAGCTAAGTGGCTACATGCAACTTTTGAAAACCTTATGACCATGTAGAAAATTTTAATTCTTTCTGATCTTTATAGTTGAATGCATCTGTTAAATATCACATCAATTAAATATATTAAAAGTTACAACCTACTGAATCTTACATGAGCCATAAGAGAGACTAGCAATTATGTTTTGTTTTTGGTGTTTCAAACTGCTTTTACATAGAAGCAGTCATCACCAGCTGTTCCTGGGTTTGCTTAAATTAAAGCTGCTTCCTCTTTTTAGAGCAGGATGCAGTTGTGGTTATTCATCCCCAAAGAAGGCATTGCAGGTTAAACTTTAGCAATTTACACTATTTTTCTTTAGAACTACCTCAGGAAATCTCCATAAGATTTTTTGTACTACAGGATCTCCTGTGGTATGCTTCATTATATCTTTTTTATACAGAGTCAGAAAGGACAAGAGCTTTTTTTAATTGCTGGGGAAAAGAAACTTGGGGAGCTAGACAAAGAAGCCTCAGGATAAAGGTAATCCATTATTTTTTTTCTTCCCTTGGAGTATATAGCTTAATTGATTTTCATGAGTTGTCTAGAGCTATTTTTTCTCAGGAGTCTCTTTTTGCAGTATTGTCTCTGCTCTCATGTACACTGGTTTTACTTGCTTGCATTAATCTGCAGGTAGCTGGTGAGTGAATGTGCCTGACAGGAAGTTTGGACTTAATGACCTTTTTGATCTTTTCCAGTTGTTTGGGAATTTTGTGGAATTTTCATGGTAAGGAAAAATGAGATATATTGTTTAATTTTGTTAAAGGAAATGCATCATTAGTTGAACCTAAAAGTTAAAACCTAACTGACCATGCTACTTTAATATAGGCAAAAGGGTAAGAAACATTGAGAATAATCTCTGCTTCTATCAAATTACAATTTGACAAAGAGATATGAACCAGAAAATGTGTGTGTGGGGGGGAGTTGAATACCATCATCCATAGGGTCCCTTCCAGCTCTCTAGTTCTAAGATGATGGTGATCATCATTTGTTTTTTGTAATTCTTTTCAGTAACCACTGCAAACGTACAGGACTGGTCAGCCTGAGCAGAAGCCAGAGAACTACCAAGTACCAAACCTTAGCCTCTCATTTCATGAGACCAAATCTTAGTCTCTCATTTCAAGACAAAATACTGGTCATGGTGTACCACTTGGGTCATCTAATCCATGCTAGGTTTTACCTTCTAAAATAAATAGCTCCAGTTTCTACAACATGAATTTTAAAAATGCAAGTTACTTTATATCTGCCATCTGTTTTTTGACATTCCTATAGCAATGCTATCCCTGAACATTTGAGTAACAACTTCACTCATGGTTTGTTGACTCACAAGTTCTATTTACTCAAAGAAAAAAAAATTAAAAGGCAGTGGCATGAAAGGGCCACTTTTACCTGTGTGTTTCTATGAGCTGAAACATAAGCACAAAGGCCCAGTGTGACTCTGAGGCTGTGTGGAGTTTGGTAGGTACTTATTCATTCTTTCCAATATTTGTTAAGATAAAGGAGATTAATTCTGCTTCCAAATGGTAGTTGCAATCTATGTTTAAAAATAATGCAGCAATATAATAGGCAGTTTCAAGCTCAGGATAATGCAATTAGAAAAAATGAATACAAGATGAAATGCCTGCATCTACACAAACAAGGCAGATATTTAACCACAGTGATTCAACACCATGCAACAGATAAAAACATTTTTAGGTAGCTACTTCTAGCAATTATAGTTAAACAAGAAGAGTATATGTATGTTTTCAAAGAGGCACTAGATGACATGAACATACCAAGGGCCTGGATGAGGTCAAATGTGTACTTAAGAATTTGATTCATATAGCAATGAAGTAAATGTTACATGAAGTACACAAGCAGGGTAATATAGTAATACACTTCCACATATGTTCCTCCACAAGTAAAATTCAGAGTCATATTGCTTCTTGGAAATCAAGACTTGCTGTGTCTCATCAGTTTGCTTCTGATCTGTGACAACCCTATGATTTTAACCATCTCCTGAAGGTTCTTTTATTAAGAGACCTGCTCAGATCTTGCAAATGAAAGGCCATTCTTTTAGTGAGCCAATCCCTTTCATGTTAGGTCTTTCTCTTCCTGCTATGTTCCGCTTTTCCTAGCGGTACTATCTTTTCCAGTGAGTTCTGATGGTCAGACTCCTGTTGAAAATTTATGCCACCATATAATTGACATTAATACAAGTCGCATGTGTCCAGCAATAAAGCAGAGGGAACTGGTACATTCACGGGTGGCAAAAGTACAAATGGGAGTCTCAAGATGTATAAAAATGGTAGCAATTTAGATTTTATTCTAAAAAGCTCAGGTTTGATGCATTTGTTATGTGCATATTAATATTTTATATTGTTAACTATGTAGATAAGAAAAAAAGCGGTAACTGTCCCAAGCCAGCTATTTCTAAATTAATATATATATTATTTTTTGCTTACCTCCTGAAGAAGGCCACCGCTGAAATGTGTTAAGCCCAAGCTTTTTAGATAAGAATAAAATTTGCATTGCTACCATTTTTATACATCTTGGATTGTTTATTTTGCCTTAGGAGCTTTTCTGGTTTCTTCGTAACTACCATTTCAAGTCTCAGTCTTCTGATTTCTTGACCGAACTCTCCATTTTGATTGATAATTGAAAATCTTTTTTAAAAAATGATTTCTTAACTGTCAACATTAAACTTTTACAATTTTTCTGTAGTCATGATTTTTGTTAATGTTTTCTCTCTGTTTATAGAAACATTTTCATCTTCATCCTCTAAGGATTCAAACCAAACCAGATGATTCCCACTCCCCATTAGTGTTCTCTTGGTTCAGTTTAAAATGTCTTTTGCTACTTTTTTAATGGTAAGCACCACAATTATGTTCCATTCTGATTCAGGTGGAGCCTTGGCTTATTATAAAATGTTCCCAGCACCTAACAAATATGAACCTCTCATTTCTATATTGTCATCTCATGCAATGAAGTTCTTCAGAAATTCTTCTAGTCATACTGGACAGGCAGTTCACCATACATTCTATATGCCTGTGTTACCCATCTAGCTAATTATTTAATTCAACAGTGCCACACTACTACCAGAATTAGATAGTCATTTTGAAATGAAACCTCTTCATCCTGTAAGGACTGTGTTCTTTTATTTATTTCTTCCTTGGAGTGATACATTCCTTTCCCTAGGACTTCATTTTCCATGGTATTTGTCCTTGGTGATTTGATTGCCGTTGTTACATCCCTGAAGGTCGCATCCACTGATTCTCTGCCTCTCTCAGCTTTTCCAAGTCATCAACTTTGGCTTCAAAGAAAAACCTTGCTCACCAAACTCGAAGCTTACTGCACCAAACGCACTCTCACAAATATGTCTATCAGGCAATTACTCATGCATGTGATGTTCCTCACCTTGAGGATTTGGCATGAGACATTTATTTTTATCACCCAGAGTAAAAACAGATTGTCTGCACAGAGGATTATTCAGAACATTCTACAGTTGAGCACTTTAGGTAGGAAGCTCACCCCTGTGCCTACTCCACATGATTCAGTATGCCTCAGCTTTTCATTCACTAGAGGAACAACATTGTTGTGAATGCTCTCTTTGCTGAGTGTGGCATCTTAAAAGTATTAATTTTTTTCTTCTACTTAACTTTGGCTCTATACTTCTTGACTCTTTCTCCTGTTGCTGGGATTGTCTATTTTGATAACCCCTACGGATTTTGGGGAGAGTGTTCTGACTGAGGGGAAGGTTGCCCCTGTGGATGGCCATTTGCAGTGCCCCTACTGCCTTGGTAGATCCCACATTTCTAAGTTCCACCTGTTGGGAACTGACCAAGCAAGACCCCAAGTTTGACCATTCAAAACGTGACTTCATTTCTGGGAGAAGTTGTTGCAGGTAGCCGATCAAACTGCTCAATACTGCCCTTTCACGCAGCATTGGTAAGCATTTTCTAAAAATCCTCCATTGAGCAGGCCTTGCCTTCACCATCTCAGCTCCTGTTGTGGTCAGCTGTGTTGACACTGCATTGACAACCATCAGTACTGATGCGTATCTCAGTGTCTATGCTAGCTTCCTCTACTTCAGTTCGCCACCAACACCTGGGAGTGATATATCACAACTGAAACTAAAAAAAGCTCCCCTCTAAGCATCATGCTGGATCTGCTGAAGCAGAATATGTGAAAGGTAAGAAGGCTACCGTATCATATAAGTTACCTTCTTCTGCATCATTTTTGGCTGCTTGGTTATCATTACATCCTCCTACTCCACAGACTGTCTTGACCTTGATATCAGCTTTTCCTTCAGGAATAGACTCCACTCATTCTGTTATGGTGTTGATCTCCTATACTGACAGTAAGACTCAGTCATCTGTCCCATTTGAGGACTGAAATATCCTGAGAAGAAGTCCATGTGGCAACAATGAAGTATGGGCAAAAGTAATGGTTGAGGAAAGTTCAGAAGCTGATGATACTAGCTGATGATATTAAGATTGATGGCAGGCTCCTTAAATTGTCTGTTACGGGGGAGTTTCTACTAATGGCACCTGCTGCATTAAAAAGGGAAGGCAAAATGTTGAGAGAGATCCTTCAACATTACTGTCAGCCATTCCCCTGCAGTGCACCATTTTACTGGACTTTGAAGCAAGGCTTCAAAAAGCATGTGGGAGGAACTGTTTTTAAAGGGTTTTTTTCTCCAGCCTATAGAAAAAAATTCCTTATCTTTTCAGTCTCAGGCTCCTAGGGATCTTGCTGCCCTTTCCATTGTGGAACAGGTTCTTTAATTATGTTAACCACTGTTGTATAGTCATTGTTTTCAACTTTAAATGCTGTCTTTCTGTGTTGTAAGCCACCTTGGGTCCTTTTCAAGGAGAAAGGTGGGGTAAAATATTTAAAATAAATTAATAAATAATAAACAATGGAATGAGGAGAATGATAGGAGACCATTATTGAAGAGAGTACCATCTAGACAAACATGAGTAACAGTACTCGGTCAAAGACTGGTACCAACCCTGATGGTGGGTAAATGTGTGGTTCCGTCTATTGTCTGTTGCTTGATACCTATCTGATCTAGGAGAGGCCTGTCTTCCATGACTGGGATGTTATGGAAGTGCTGTAGTGCCTTTGAGGTTTAAAGGTGGAGGTTCTTGCCCTGGTGTCTATTTACATGTCTCCCAAGATAGAAGTAAGATGTCATCAAATGAAGAGTGCTGGTAGTCCTATAATTTGAAAGTCCTCAAGGTCAAATTTAGGAGGGTGAGCCAGAGTATGTAAAGGGGTAGCTAAGAGAGATGGGGACAAATTTTAAAAATGGTGATTTGTTCTAATCCGTTATTTGTCAAGGTTAATGGATCTACAAATGTAACGAATATTCTTTGATGGATCAATCTGTTGATTCATCTGTAATTTTAACGGCTATAATATGGGCCCTTGATGACCTAGAGACACCAAATTAGCAGACGCTTGTCTACAACTCCTGAAAGTTTGGTGAACATTGGATCACGGACCCCTGAGCTATATAGTCACAAAGAGGACCCCCCCAGGAAAGATCCCCCAAGGTACTTAGAGAATCCGGAATCACAACAGAGCTTCCTATGTCTTTTCCCAACATGCCTGCCAACTTTGGTGAAGATTGGATATTGGAACTCCGAGTTATTCACCCACAAGTTGGGTCCCCCCAGGAGAGTTTACCACACGGCACAGAAGCCTATGGCATTGAGGGAGTTATATTTGGCCCCAGCAGAA